TGTCAGAAAATTCTAAATGCTTTTTTTGGAACTGGGAAGAAAACACAGCGCCATCGTTGATGAAATCATCCAAAATTGAATGTAGACTGAATGAACGTATTATCATGTTTCTACAAAGAGTACAGTTAACTTGAGCTTTCTGTTAGCAATGCACACAATGGCGTTTTAAGCTTGTAGGGTGGACGTTTTGTTTGAACCAGAAGAGTTTCATATCCATCCAAGCCTTGGAGGTGCTCCAACTATCATTTACCTAACATAGTCTTTGTAGAAAATAAACAGTTTTATCCCTGGAAACCTGGACAATTGAAATAACTTCTTCCACTTTGTAACTGCATTTGAACTCAAGCCCTGGAGTGGGACAGGACTTTAGCTTTCTATGCCTGTAATCTAAGATCACTTTATCTCCAGTATACCATCACTATTGCTTCACCATCCAACAGAGATACTGTACATTTTTTGTACTCATCAATAATTTGGTCTCACACTGACCACATTCCTCTATCCCTGTACATCATTTACAACCAGTTGTTGTTGAGTTGAGTGCTCTGCTAACGCGACTCTAACTTTAAACTACAAGCTCAACACACAAGTCCTGAATGATTGCTGTAGCTGCAGACCTGTGTGTTCACTCACATGGCTATATTGCAAATAATTCACAGGCTAGTAAGGGGATACACTGTAGTCGCTATTTTGTTCTGTCTTTCTCCTTTGCCAGTGCGGCGCTCTTTGTGATTACTCGACTGCATTGTGTGCTCAGTGCATGCTAATGGCTAAATTTGATTAAGACCACAGAGCTGATGGATTGTACAGTGGAATTAGAGTTGTGTATTGGCCAAGTAATGATGACGGTGCACTGTAAGGGCTCAGATGAGGAGCAGGTTATGTTTGCTGGTAGAGGGAGGTTAGCAGCAGCAGCGGCCTGCATCTCTGCTTCTAAGTCTCCATCCATCCCTGCGTGCAGCTGTGTGCAGCTGTGTGCAGCTCCTCCACCGCTAACATGAGGGGAGGCTATGTGACATTCCCTCTGAGTCGCGATGCCACATCAGCTTATTTCCTCCCTCTTGTCATTCCTTATCTTTTCAGTTTATCCTTGATCCTTCTGTCTTTCTGGCCGCCTCATCTTTTGGCCTCTTATCTTCCCTCCTTGTTTGGTTCGTCTCCCTGCTTCTGTGTCACTCCTGAGTAGAGAGACGATCGGGTGTGTGAAACAAAAGAGTACTCTATGCTGTTACCATGGCAACTGCATCTAGGAGCTGAGCCAGTTCTCTTCCACGGACATGCGCGCTCAGTCTCTCACTCTCCCTCCACTTGCCTCACTTAGATTAAAGCTTACATCTGATGAGAATGAGGAGAATGAGAAAGAAGCAGGAGAAACAAGGGAAAAGGCTGTGCTTGTTAGAGTGGCGTTTCATAACCCTCCAAGGAAACAATGTGCTTTTCTCTGTGATGAATCATTATTACTGATGACAGATATCAAAGACAGACATTGTCAGTGAACTGCACACGATGCACAACAAAGGAAACACAGAGTGTATCCCTGCACTGCATGGTGCTTTCTTCTCCTCTGTAGAGGTGTCGTTCGGAGGGTCGACAGAGGCGATTGCGAGTAATGGTCTGTTACAGGAAATTAAAGCATTTGCAGGGCTCTGCTGCCTCGCTCCATGACATCAATCTGTATTAATTGGGCAATTAATCTGATTTCATGAGAAGACGTCTCAATGAGGGAACCCATTTACCACATGTGATTTGTATTTGCGTATTGTGTGTACGTGAGTGCATGTGTCCTCGAAGGGCTTTTTCATTACTGGCTGACATGTATTGTACAAATCTTTTATGACCACTTCAGTAACACAGTAACTATCGATTTGGGTATGGTTAGAAAATGTGTCACGGTTGGCTGTGTGCTCGTTAATGTGTTCAGAACCGAAGTGAAATATACCCACAGTGGGGACCAGAAATGGTTAGACTGGAGCTGTTTTCAGATAATTTGTTGATGTGAACACAGCACAGCCGGGGTATATGCACACACAGGGCTGTAGATGAATGCGTTGTGTCATGTAGCCCAGATGGATGTTAAGTGAGGGGGGACGTCAGCTTCTGTTTGACTTGGACAGAATGAGAAAGTGTGCACCTGTAATGCACACAGGGGAGGCGCTCGTTATTTTCAGCTTGACTGAATCGGACCGGGAGGCGTACGCGATAACAGAAAGACATGGCGGCGCTGAGTGTTTTGTTCCTTCGCCATCAGGACACGATACCCGGCGGAGCTTTTCCTCTCCAATCAGGAAGTTTACTTGGCAGTCAAATCCACGATTCAGCCAGTGAGGGAAAATTGATTTAGCAACCTATTGTTCAGTGCCCAGCTGGATGAGACTGCAAGAGAGAAATGAGGCCCTGAGTGGACATACCATTGCATGCTTCATTTTTGTCCCCAAGGAAGGGAATTCATTTCTGTCAAATCACTGTGATTGTAAGTAATGGGACAGTTGTGATAGCACAGTAGAGGAGATGGAGGAGGAGGAGTGAGGGGGGGGAGGGGGCGGTTTCACACTCCTTTAACCACGTGCAAATTATGTCAAGACCTTCCCTAGCTGGGAAGTGGGCGGGGGGGGGTCTCTTCTCTGAACCAGTGTGAACCGGTTGTGTTACTGCCACAGTCGTCAGCCATGATTGCCCACAACTCCCGGGTGCAATATGTTGATATGATTTGGTGCTCGTGGGCATAGAGACCTCCAGGGTCATATACTGACCGGATTATATACAAGGTCCTGGAGTATTGTCTAGGGAACTAGGGAAAAAATACACAGGCCATACTCCGGATCCCACTGAGGATATATGTTCTCACATTATGTACCTTGTCTTTCTTTCGTAAAAGGTCACAGAAGAACATGTTCAAGGGTCATAAGCATCTTTCTCATCTTAGGTTATAATACAATCCACTCTGGAACACAAAACTATCTATCCACAGGGTACTTTGTATTTTGATGGTAGCTTCTTGAATGGATTTTAACAGCGGGAAATTTTCTGTGTATTCGTATAATTCACAGTAATGTCTTTGTGTCATTGGTATCACAGAGCAAAGGCTTCATTTTTAATTCACTTTCCACTGACATTTTACAACCATACAGGGAGAAATCTATTGTGGCGGAGGCAGAGAAGCCAGTCTCTCCTTAACAGACAACAATGTAATGCACACTATGTTGCACATAAAAGTTCCCTGCCCATGTGGGCTTATAAGACATAAAATACAGTTGCAGTAGCAAAACAAGCCTTGTCAGATAAGCGTTTAAATTATTACACAAAACTTTCCTCTGAACAAATACTTTTCTAACAAACATGACTCAGGTATTAAATTACCATGCAAACCGAATAAATCTGCATTTTATTTGAAGTGAAGAGTACAGTCCTTAAATCATCATATATCATATCAGATATCATACTATAAGATGGATGTCATTTTAAACCTACGTTTTTCTTTGGCTAATTGTAAAAATAGTGCACTTAGCTTAGCTTAGCATAAAGACTGGAAACAGGGGGAAACTTCTAGCCTGGCTCTGTCTGAAGCTACAAAAATCCAGCCACTAGCACCTCAAAAGCTCACTAATTCACATTACATATATCATTTTTTTAATCCATACGAAAACCAAAGTTAAAACAAGAAGTCCTGTTGTCGCTGTGAGGTTGTAAGGCAATGAGCCCAGACTTTATACGAATTAAACAAACAACATATAACATGTTAATTAGTGAATGTAAGAGATGCTGGTTGGTGGTTACCTTTGGACAGAGACCACCCAGCTGTTTACCTCCTGTTTCTAGCTCTTATGATATTAGCTAAGCTAACCATTGCCTAGCTGTAGCCCCATACCAGACAGATATGAGAGTTATATCTTATCGTCTAACTCTCAGCAACAAAAAGCAAATACACACATTTCCCAGAATGACAAACTATTGCTTTAACATACTTTATTTCTAAATATAACACTGTGGCCTGTTTATAAAATAAAAAACTGATCCAGCAGTGTCCATGTGAAAAGACCCACTTAATTTTGTCACATATTTTTAATATCTTTTCAGTGAGCTCCTGTTTGGACATGCTTACAGTACACACCTCTCTCAACTGACAAAACTGGCTGCACTGTACTTTTCAGCTGTTCAGTCCACCCACACATAACCTGCAACTGAAGGCAAAAAAGTCCAACAGATCTCCAGATGAATGTATAAATTGCCAAAGTAAAGAAGAAGTCAGTGAGGTAGGCTGCGGGAAAATGGCTTCACACCAAAGAAAATGACAACACTCAAAGAATAATGACACATTATACTATACAACTCAAACAAAGTACCTCTTCTACACTGTAATGTGTGCATCTTTGTGTTGTGCCTGAAAATATTTTTATTAGCCAAATCAAAGAGAACATTAAGATGTGAGCTTATATATGCTACTATATCTGATATGCCTTTTAGGCAGTAACACAGTCCATTGCACCATGGAGCGATACAGACTGGAGCATTACACGCATCCATATCCACTCATGGATGAGTGCTTGTACTCTTGTCAATTTTTTCGGTTTAACACCTTTGTGACTGAAGGAATGCACTGTTGATAGCCATGAGCACTGACGGTAGCGCTCATGGCCTAATTCACTAATTCTTTTTTTTTGGTAATCGTCATCTTAGTGCTGGAGCTTGTCTTGCTTAAATAGCTGATCATTATCTGGCTCAGTGAGGGATTTTGTAATTAAAGTAAATGTCCTTGACGGCAAGGTGAATTATGTCTGTGGAAAATGTGTTGTATCAAGAAGCTAGAGCTTTCAGAATTTGTAATGAAGGTGTGATCCTGGCTCTAGTGCTGTTATTGTTTTTGGGTGAATGCTTTCGTGTTCTGAATTTTCTGCAGCGCCTGCTGTCATCTCAGCTCTTTTGATTCTGAAAGAAAGCATGCATTAATGCTTTTGACATGGCATTTTGAAGAACTTTTTTGCTGTGTTCTTGTCTCTTCTCAGGTTGGTGTTACTTTGTTGAAGCGACAGAGGCAGGCCCTGAGTTGGAGGTGAAGAGAGCAGGATAGCAGTCCTCCCAGACAGCAGGGAGCAGTAGCAGGCATGCAGGACTCCGCTTCGGACATCAAGATGGCCAAACAGGTCAGCACGGCCCTAACTGCACAAATGGATCACTGCTAAAGCCACAGACTTCCCAGTGGTTGTAGAAAGTATACATACTGGAACTATTAGCTTTTAGTTAGTATTGTAAGTTATAATGTAAGTTAAGTTGTAATGGGTTTCTAAAGTTCCACTTTGATTGAGTTGCACCTGCTATTCATTAATCCAGTATGAAGTTTATGTGGGAAGTCCTTCCTAAGTTCTTAGTAAGAAATACTACTTTCAACTTTGCAATCTGTAAAAAATAACAGTTTAAGGGGTGTAATGATACATGAAACTTAACTGACAGCCCTTTGTAAATATAAGCCTGACTTTATGTATTCATAGAAATAGTTTGAGACTTAATAGTATTCATGCAGTTTAATATGGTAACCTAGCCAATGCTATTTAGTCTTGATGTTGTTAGCACAACATTTTGAGGCATGTTTATCATTTTTGTGAAATACATTTTTTAAATCACGTTTAAATCATTATTAAAAAGCATTTTATCAAGTCTCAGATCAGATATGTCGACCATATTCCATATTTGTTTCTTTGCTCTTCAGTCTAAACGGTATAGGCTTACGTTAATTGTGTCTGTTTTCAGTTAGCTAGCAGCAGTCACACGTGGCAAATACTGCATGTAAATAATTACTAACAAGTTCAATTTGTGTCTGTGTGAGAACTGCGTTTATATATCTTTGTTGTGCAAGCAGTTCTAATTCGAGAATAATCTTAAAAGTTAAAATTAGCTTAAAACAAGGTGTAACGTGTGAAGAGCAGATGCAACTGGCTCCAACGCTTGTGTTTTATTGTGCTGAGAATATCATTACATGGCAGAAAAACTAGAGTTCATTTGTTCATATTGCCTCTTTTACAACAGGCCTTAGGGTCTTGTAGATAATGAGGATGACACTGATCATTAAGAGGTTTATCTGGATTCATCAACTTACAGTATTTCTTGATGTTGCAGCAGTTTTGCCTGGTCTGAAGCAGAGACTTGTTCCAAAGAGACTGAAGAGGCTATGAAGTATGTCTAGGGATAGCATCACTAATGGCTGCTGTGTTAATATTTTATTTCAGATTTCTCTTTTGTCTTGTAATTCAGTGATTGGTCTATTAACTGGAATTCAATGCAGTTTCTAGTAGATCAGATTATACTGTCTGTTTTTCAGTGCCTAAAATCCAATATTTATTAAAGCCACAGTGCTGACTCTCCACCACTGGCTTTTCCTTAGGCCATTGTCATCAAAGAACATAATCTTATGGCACTGTCCTGATATTGATAGAGTACCTTAAAGTATTTTAAGTGTTTCAAATATCTGCTCAGGTATCAGTGATGCCAGATGAAATCCGTAACTGTGTCTTTTGACTGCCTTTGTTTTATTATTTATGTGTTAAGGAACAGAACTCCAAGCATCTGGACGAACACAGAGAAACAGATGACATGTCTGAGAAGATGTCCCCAAACAAAAACCTCAAATCTCCCCAGAAAGGCTCCAAACGACTTAAAACCACCCCCTTCAAAGTGACCCTGCTGGACACCTCCGAGTACGAAGGAGAAATTGAGGTATGCATGATGGAAGGCAATTTGTGGTTACATGTTTTTGAGAATTAACCTTAATATGCTTTGAACAAACTGTTAAAAAGCAACATTCTTTATTTATTTTATTTTCCTCTGAAGGCAGTTGTGTGTGTTGTACAGTGCTGCAGAGAGCAGATAAAACAGGCAAAGAGAATAAAAGAGAGGGTTCCGCTCTGAGAGCTCACCAGGAGGTCAAAGCCAAAGCAATGTTGCACATTTTGGTAATACAAACAGTGGCACAAAAAAAGTATGCAGTATGAAAGACTTCATTCCACACAAGATATGTGTTGTCATTATCCAGCAGTGTGAAAAAGGACATTTCCCATTTTCTGAAAAAAGAAATTGCAAAAGAGTGGAGAAAAGAGATAGATGTAAGTCCATTGCCTTAGATAAGTGCACCGAAAACTGGAGCTGGAGCTTTTGGAGCTTTTATGACTAGCAGCAGCATACACCTCTGGCAGAAGAGGTCTATCTTTCCTTCTATTATATATTTTACAGTGTTGTGGTAGAAGGAATTCATTTCAAATTATTTGACTGTGGAGATGCTGTGGACTGTGCTGCAATATCTTAAGCTATTTCTTGTTTAAGCTCAACTTTCTCAAAATCTAGGACATGATACGTCTGTCTGGAAACACTCTCTCTGTACCTGTGATGACAGAGTTTAAATCCGGCTTCTGTCTGGGCTATTTGGTAGCAGCCTGTGTCACAGCTCTGCCTCTGCATTACTTCAGCAAGACTTCTGTCTGGTGCAGCATGGACTAGGACTGGAGACATACTGTGCATGTTCATGAGTACTGCTGGGTGTAACTATAGTTCTTTTTGAGTACCAGTGGAAGTGCCTGTGTATCACAACAAGTTGTCCAACCTAATTGAGAATATAGGCTATTGCCTTTCAGTACGACCCATTTTAGCGTTCTAATCTGGCACCTTTGGCAGTAGAAAAACAGCGTCAATGCCATGCAAAAAAAGTGATTATTCACATTATGTGTGAATTATTTTACATGACTGTTTTCTGCCACATTTATGGTTAATGTGTTGTTACATTTAGGCAACATAAGCTACTTGGTTATACTCAGGGTTAGGTTAATATAAACCAACGCTGATGTGAACAGATAACCTTGCAAGGCAGTTGGACTCATGAGATCACACAAGAATCCATTTTGCTAATCTTCAAGCTATATGCTTTGGTTGAGACCATTCAACTAACCTAAAGAGGTTAGCATTGTAGATGCTGCTAGCATCAGTTATGTCAGAACTGGAGAGTATTTCTTCATTGGAAGAAGAGCAAAGAACGCCACTGAGGACTTTTCTTGATGGAAAAGAAAAGATTTGTCCGCTCCTCTCCCGACTGGCTTCGGCAAAGGTTTGACTACGTTATATGGTTCATTGATCTGATTGGTTGAAGTTCGTCTGTGATAGACAGATGGTTCATCAAATCACCTTCCTCAGTACTCAGTACTGTTTCATTAGACTCACCAAGGTAAATGACTCAACTGAAATCTACTAAATCTAATCAAAAAATGTAAGCCTCAGTCCAAATCTAAGGGATCAGGGTTATTATTATTCAATTTCAGAAAGCTCCTCTAGAACCACATAAGACATTATCTGTTTTATTTAGCTTGAGCAGTACTCCTTGTGAGAAGTTAATTCATTTTCATGTGTAAAATGAGTTAAGTGACTCTTAAACACTGAACCATTGGGTGCTTTGCTATACTGTATTTTGTCAAATGGAAAAAAAGGGGTTAAATCATGTTTATATTCCCCTTACTAAGGTATCAAAATACTCTTGTTTTGGAATAAATGCTGATTTTGTATTGGCATTAATATAAAAAAAGGGGGTCAGAGGATATCACTTTTGTCCAATAAAAGCCTTCAGCACAGGCCGCTAACAGGGTGCTTGGAAATCTATAGTTATTACATAGTTGCAAGCCAGGTGCAACCAAGGAGAAAATAGAAGGGCAATGTTATTATGAACCACCCCTTAGGATACTTATCCACAAGTGCATGGAACTTTGCGTGTGTGTGTGTTGGGGGGAGGGCTCTTTTTATGTGTGAGGTAAGAATATCAGGAATGCTACACTTGCACCAACCTCTCTCTCAGCGCTGTGAAAACATTCAGAAATACCTTTGGACCTTTTCCACACCACAACAATAGTTCACATTATGGTTATGAAAGCTTTTGTGTCTTAAGTGCTCTTCCTGAATATCCGCCCACCCTCGCAGCACTGCCAGACATTTGCCAATGAAGGCTGTACAGAGCGTCTCTTGTCAGTCCATGCTTTTTAAAATTCTAGTTTGGTGAGAGCCTTGGACCTCCAGGTCATTGGCAGGCTTGCTCTCGCTTCCTGTCTTTAATTGCTGGGGTGGAACTTCATGCCTGAAATATCCCAACCTCCCTCATGCTTCCAGGAGTTGGTAATAACAGCGTTGCGAGAGGGCAGGCCACACTTCGGGAGCGCTCTCCCTGGAGGAGGTGCCACATTCATGGGTTAATTAAGTCTCTTGTCATGGATGCGTGGCTGAGCCTCCCCGTGGTCCTCAGGCAGGAGTGGAGGCAACACGCCCTTATCCACTTCTCTCACCCAGTCTCCCCATCTGCTCACAGGGGTGTGATCTGCTCGACTATGCATGGTCAAGCATGGCCGGGCCGATGTGCAGAACAGGGCTATTTGGGGTGGAATTGAGTGGTTAATTGTCTTTTTCCATTGCCAAGATTCTGTCTTAGGTGTCCATTCAGGTGGCAATGTAGAGATCATTATTGAACAGTTGAATATTTAATTGCTCCAGAGCAGAGAGTGGATAGGCTGGATCACCTCTGTCATGGATTATTAAGACTCCACATGCTGATTTGTTTATTTAATTTTGCTGGCTGCTGTTGATATAATACTGCATACCTGCTTTACAGTGGCAACGATTCTGTTGGTGACATGCTGACTAACTTGATGAGAGCTTATAAGCACTTCCCAAGTGTTGCTCTACCATCCTTTCACCCATAATGAGGCAAGGGCGAAACTCTTCTTCAAGTCTTAGCCTTGAGATATTAAGAAACAAGACAGCAGAGGGATAATACTGCATCTGTTTCCCTGGCAACTGCTTGCTCCATCTCCCTGTCACCTCGCAAAGTAAGCCCCAGGGAAGGAGGCACTGTGTGTGTGTGTGTGTGAGTATAAGCCTGTCAATGTGTGGTCTAAACATTAACATACTTCTGTTCTATATTTAAAAGTGACATATGAGCCCATGTCATTATTTAATTTGCTCTATGAAATCAATGAAGTAAAACATTTTTTGATACAACCATTATTTTGCAAAATTGGCTTCCTGGGCAGTAAGTGATGTGATTTCTCAAAATAAGTCAGGATGTCCTTTTAGCTTGTGCTGACTGGCGAATGAAGAGATGATCCTTGATGGTTTTTCTGCTTCTGATATTAAGGAACTAAATTGTTATAGAAAATACAATGTAAAATCAGCTCTCTACTGTGCATTTACAGAAGAAGTTGTCTGTGAGGGGCTGTCGGGTGCCGCCGGGATGAGGATCACGTGTTTTAATCGCACAATGTAAGTAACTGTGCTGTTGTTCCGTTTACATATTTTTCTGTTGTCAGGCTCAGAAGTAGTGTGAAATTTGATCACGGCTCATGAATACTACCTTCACCAGCAGTCATTACTGAGCTGTTGCGCTTCAGATAAAATTGTTATTATGTGATCTCTACATTGTCTGACAAATTGAACAAAAATACGGGTTAATGACAGCAGCTGTGCTGTGGGATCCGCTATGTTGACATTTAAAATGAGTGATCACAAAGAAAGTTTGTCCCTCACATCCATGTTAATTCAATTCCAAATCAATCAATACTCAGTACAAGGGGATTCAATTACTTAAAATCCGATTAGTGCTATTCTTTTTTGTAGATATCAGAACTCCACACAGGCAATAGAGTCTGGCCAGCCAGGTTTTGACCTTCAAGTTTGGAGGCATGTGTGCCAACCTTTGAGCCACCATGGCAATCGATGTCTATAGTTTTTTTAATTGTATAACAATCAATCCAGTGTGACAGGCACTAGATAATCAAATCCATGGTAAAAACACGTCAGACTATATTTGAATATAAATATAGGTTTATCTCCCTTACTTAGAATTATACATTGCAGTAGCCCTGACAGTGTCGACTGATGGTCCAGCACTTTGGTTCAGACTGAAATATTTCAACTATTAAATGGATTACAGTGACATTTGGTCTGGTACAGATCTTCATTGTCCCCAGAGGATAAATTTCACAGTCTTCGGTATCCCCCTGACTTTTCATCTTGTGCCATCATCATATAAAAATTAATGACATTTCCAACTGCATTCATTGTACTTTGTGTTTAGTAAAAACAAGCAAATGCTAGCAGACAAACACTCAACTCAGTAAGATGGTTGAACGAAGAAAGCATTACCCGCTTAACATGAGTATTGTCACTGTGAGCATGCTGACACCAGCATTAAGCACTGAATACAGCTCCACAAAGCTGCTAGCACTCACAGTGTCAACAATGGACATTGTGAAAATATCACTTGACATATTTGACCAGTTATGATGGTCAAATATGTCAAGTGATAGGTGATAGATCCTGAATACTTCTAAGTTAGTCGGTTATTTTGATACACTTCTTGCATCAGGGCTATATACCAAGGATACACTAATCTGTGCCAAAGGCTCCTTTTGGTACTGTGTGGTTTCTTTGTGCATCCTAACGTTAACTTCCACATTGAAACTCCCCCTTCAATGTCAAAACATGAACTTGTCACTTGAATCTGAAGAGAAATGTTCCTGAAATGGTCACCCTGAACTCTGTCAATAGCAGATGAAATCTCTGCTTACAGTACAAAGACCAATCTTCCCCAACAATTCACAAGCCATTTTTACTGTCAAGTGTTTGATGTACACCGACTGGGACACAACACCAAATGGCTCTGCTGTTTTATTGTGTGCAGACCCAGAAAACAGGAAAGCAATCTTTGCAAGCGCAGCTGTCTAATGGGGTCTGGCGTTGGTGACCCAAGTCTTTCCCGATAAAACTAGCTATACCAGTAGTAGACTCTTGTGCACTTATAGTATCATAAATGTAGTAGATAATCTTTCTGATGCTTTCTTCTGCAGTGATGTTGACCTTTTTACTACTGCTGTGTCATCTGTGTTTGTTTTTGCAGAAACACTCCAAAGGACAGATCCTGATGGACATGGTGTGTGAGCACCTCAACTTGCTGGAGAAAGACTACTTTGGTCTGACCTTTGCCGACACAGACACCCAGAAGGTCAGTGAATTGTGTGCCACAATAACCTCGTGGGACATTTCAGTGCATAAACACGTTGCTCACAGAAAATCTGTATTCCTCTCACTTGTTGGCTGGCTCGGCTCTCTCAGGGGGGCACTATCCATCATTCAGAGATGAATGGAAAATGGTAATTTCAATGCTCTGTCTGGGTTTGGACAACAGGCAATTGAAAAACGTGTGCAGTTGGAGAAAAGATGAAAAAATACCTAATCTATTTGCAAGATGTATATATGAAATTTAGTTATACAAATATTTCTCAGAAGCGGAGCTGCTCTGCCGGCAGACATATTCTCACTGGTTGAGTTGAACCTCCATTGACTGAAGCCTGAGAAACAGTTACTAGCTTAGCCTATATATAGGAATTTTAACTAACCATAACCCTAATATTAGCCACCATGACCAACTGGTCACACCAGACTGAGTAAGGCTGTAGCAGGAAAACCCCATAATGTGTATTGGATTCAGCAAGGGTGATTTTTACTGCTTATGAATCCAACATCTAAGCATTTTAACTAGCAAACCACCAAAACACTCTAAAATGTTTTTTCCCCTGCTTTTAGCAAAAGCTAGAAAGGGTTGGTTTACCTAAATTAGCTCACTTACTGTTGGTGGTGTACATGTATTGATTTATTTACCTAGATTTGTAGAGAAGGTTATTTGTGGAGCTTATAGCATACATATATACATAGCAGACATAATGTCACATTATAGACTGTTTTGGCAAACAACTGCCTATTGCACATCTAGCAGACACAACATTAGCACTTCTTTGGTGTCGTGTCTCTGGCCACCTCATGAATGTAAGCCCAGAATTCACTTTGTTTTTGAGATGACAGTTCTACCATCTCAAGAGGCCCTCTTAGGAAGTGGTGGAAATAGTCTTATGTGAAAAGTGTTGACAGTTCTGCATGAAATATCAGGGACAGATATCTCAAAAGCTGGCCACATAAAACTACATTTTTGTAACTTTATTTAGTCAGAAATACTCAGATTCTTCGGTTCTTTGGTTCTGTCCTCTGAGGTTTAATTATTTCTGCTTCTGTTAAATGTGTACATACATTAAACTTCAATCAGCTCACAGATCAGTTTGACATTTGAAGTAGAAGGTCTGAATATGTTTCCCAATGATCTGTGTTGACTTGTTATTGTGCACAGACTAAATTTATTATCATATAATGGAGTAATTGACTCTGAACTGATGGGTCCTAGCTGTCGGCTCATGAGAGCTCTTTGTCAGATGTGGGTTTTGAGTTTTGATTGATGTGAGCCTCCCTAAGGGCATGCATGTGATTGCAACAGGCTACAGAGGAACCTCCTGCCATTTGAAGATGACAAGGAAAGATGACAAGACTAAGTCCCTTTTAACATCTGGAGCGTAGCCTCTGTCACCATCGTCAGCTTGTGCGTGCTTTGTCTGCTCACCTGTTGTGACTTAATGCGCGTTTGGCAGCTGAGGCTCTGGATTGAGCATGATCTCAGCCCATGCAGACAGGTTAACTAGGGTGTTAGAGAGGTAAACAGGCTTGAAGTTCAAATATTTTCCTTAGGCTTGGATCAATATGACAGGCTCATCAAAGACAGGCTTATCAGAGCACAGCTTGAGCGTACTGTCTGGGGTCATCGCTGATTGGTAGACCAAATAAGCCTGAGAATTGAAATGTCATTTCAGATGCCCTTTCGCTGTCTCAGTTGGGAGAACAAGGATTTAATCTTCACCCTTCGGGAGAACATTTATTCCGTGTGATTGCTTCATGAACTAAGGTCGCAAAAGCAAGAGCGAAGCAGTCGGTAATTAAAAGTTCTTCCTGCTTTTCTGCAGAGAAAAGCAAAGCAGCAGAGAGCGCCTTACAATTGAGTGCTCTTTGGCCTTAGCTGATATAAGACAGATTCAGGGGGACGATAAATGCCTGTGGCTCATTAATGTCTTTAGCAGCCTGATTAAACGCTGGAGGAGTATGTGTGTTTGTGTTGGTGTACATAAATGTGTGTGTGTGTACGTGAAGGCATAGTTCAAATTGCAAGAGATGTTTGCATTTTTTCCAACATGGTCACAGGATTGCACTGTGCAGTATCAACCTTTCATGCTCCTGATTCCACTCTGACTGATGTGACGCCAGCTGCCAAAAAGACTGTCAGCATTAATAAGCAACTGCTGTGTGGTATTCAGGTTAGCGAAGATCACTGTCAGCTCTGTGCACCACAGGCAGCATGCAACTGTGTTACATCCTGAAAACACCTGTTTATTATTGTTTGTTCTGAAAGAACAAAAGTGACATATTCCCATAGATTATATGGGCAGGCCCAAAACAAAAGGGGTGCAATGGTACATAGAAGTCACAGTTCAGTTCAGTTTAGGGTACGGTTCAGTGTGAGTTTGTTACAAATCCAGCACAAATACATGAACCATTACAGCCCTACAAAACAAGTAAAGTATGATTCAGTGTAAGGATTTCTGGTCCAACTTTGTGTTCTTAGACAAGGGAAAAACATCTGAGGAGATGTTTTTTGACCTATGGCGAGGGTTATTGAGGGCTTCTCATCAGTTCATCTCAATGAATGGGGTTTTAGACAAATATACATAGCACTTTGTATAGGCTTTTTTCAAAGTATGCCACTAAGACCTCTTCTATACCAGCATAGAGGCACATCTCCTTTTTAAGAAGATGACCCTGATGAAGGCCGCAAGCTGAAATGTGTTGCAATAAAGTTGTTGCAAAAGTTCAATCCCATTTAAATAGCATGCTCAACATAAATTGTCAACCAGTAAATTGATTTCAAGGAATCAAAGAAATGTATTTATCATTATACAACACAAGGCTGTATAACCAACTGAAAGTTTGAAGTTCCTTAATGCTACACACATAGAAATAGATCATTAAATGTATATAATAACATACAGGCATACACCAAGGTAATAGTTCTACTGTGCATCTCTAATATTCCCGTTATTAACAAGACAGTAATGATAATATGGTTTCATCTTCACATAAAAAGAAAGAGCTTGATTGAGTCTCCGTAAAGATGTGGGCACAACAGTCTCTGATTTCCCATTGTTTGGCCAGCCTGAGTCCCATTTTTATCCACACCAGACATTAGCCAAGAGCTGCCTTAAGTCTGAGCTGGGCCAGCATGGCTTTCATCTGGCTATCTTCCCTTCCCTCCCTTGAGTGACCAACCCGCTGTAGTGGGCTGCTTCCGCTGATCTGGCTGGGGGGATTGTCTCAAGGTCTGCTGCTCTTTAATCCAAACCCTGCGCTTCCTTTTTTGATGACTTTAGGCTATTTCTGTCATACGTAATGCAGAAAAGCAGAAAAAAAATCCATTTTTAAACAAAAATCTAGCAAGTTGGAAGGAGCTACCAGGCGCTGCATATACATGCTCAGCCGTTGCCAATTTATAAGTAATAGGCTGATTACAAGGGTTTCTAAAAGGACAAATTCTGTTGCTACTTTGCTGTAACCGGAAGGCTTGTAATTTTTGAGGAAATTAAATTGCCATATATACCAGATAAAAGGCCATAGGGGAAACAATAGTGTAATAAGAAGATGAATATGCAATGGGAAATTCCACGAAACACCCCGAAAAATAATAAAACCAATTTCAGCAGGGTAAAAGTACTTGAGGGGGGTATTTCATTACTCTCTCCATTGCCGTCAGTGTGTTGCTGTGATTTACAGCTTCTGTTACAACTGAGTCAGTATGCACTGCACCACTGATGTGTAGCTCCAGCAACCAAATCATAATTGGTTCCCCTATAGGCAAAGCGGTAGACTAGATGGTGGGATGTGATGAGCTCAGATAGGTGACTGGCTGGCAGTGATTTTGCCGCACAATGAAGAAACAGATGCTAGAATTAAATCTGCTCTCTGCACGTTTGAGCGGCTCAGCAGGGGAGGGCTCAGTTTCTTTATTTAACCATATGGAAAGGCTTTCATTAGGAACACTGATAGCAATTAGAGCAAAATGTGACACCAGGGTGTGCATTAAGCCATGTTTCTAGTCTGCCCTGTGTGAATTCTGCCTTCTGTCTTTCAGAACTGGTTGGACCCCTCCAAGGAGATCAAGAAGCAGATGCGCAGTAAGTGTCTTTTCCAAGTAGCTGAGATGATAAATGGTTTAGTATTCAATTAGTAAAGTCATAAATTCAGATTTGATACCGTACAAACTGATGCAAAGTTTTGTGTTAATCTGTTAGATTTCTAAATACAATTTTTGTACAGTTTTCCTCAAAAAGACACAATAGCTAACCTCCCAGCTCTTGTAATTTCTCCTCAGACTCTCCCTGGCACTTTGCCTTTGCTGTCAAGTTCTACCCTCCAGACCCCTCCCAGCTCACTGAGGATATTACCAGGTAGAATACATCTTTACCACACACACTCTTACTGTATCAACAGTTGTAACTCCTCTGGCTGTGCTGTTAGAGGCTCTTCAGAGTTAATCACATGAGAAATTGCTTACACATGTCAGTTCTGCAGGTGATTTGCCAGTTTTATTTTCCTAAAAATGTGTTTACATAAAAGTATTGTAACAATTTACATGGCACATTCGCCCCGGTGTCAAAGCAACCCAAATCCCTCTCTCCTTTTCGAGGATTAGACCTGGAATGCTACTAACTGCCATGGATTAACTACGCTGAATACTTGTTGGAGCTTGCCTTGGCTCAGGCTTGTTTGACTGCCAACACCCTTCTCTCCTCCCCTTTTGTCTCATCTGACAGATACTACCTGTGTCTGCAGCTGAGGGATGACATGCTGTCAGGTCGACTGCCGTGCTCGTTCGTCACTCACGCCCTCCTGGGCTCCTACTCCGTTCAAGCCGAACTGGGGGACTATGACCACGACGACCATGGCTCTGACTATGTCAGCGATTTCCGCTTTGCCCCCAATCAGACTCGTGAGCTGGAGGAGAGGGTGATGGAGCTCCATCGAAACTACAAGTACTGGACACACATATTTATCCACAAATCCCTTGGGATGATAGACTGATGAGTTTTCCCACTGTGTCAAAATACTACATCATGCATGTGACTGATAGATGCCATCACATTTCCACCATTGAGATGTACACAGTGAGAGTCTTGCCTGACTTTCTCAGTTAGACAGTCTTAACCACTCTCTGATTTGGCATAAGTTTTTGGCATATGCCCAAACATAATGCTTGAGGGTATGGATGGGAAGAATTTAGAGTTGGAGATACCAAGGATATTACCAAGATAATTCTGCTCCCACTGTGCAAGATTATGGGTTTATTATTTAAGAAGGGCTGTTGTTGTTGGTTACAGATATTACTGTAATTCTGCCCACAGGGGGATGACTCCAGCAGAGGCTGAAATTAACTTCTTGGAGAATGCAAAGAAACTGTCCATGTACGGTGTGGACCTCCATCATGCTAAGGTTGGCTGTTTCCAAAGTTATTTAATGTGCATGAAAGTGGGGTTTCAAGGATCCATACAAACAGTGTTGCTCTTTAATCATGTATGCCTCTTCACTGTCCCTCGTTCGCTGTAGGACTCTGAAGGGATTGACATAATGTTGGGTGTCTGTGCCAACGGCCTGCTGATTTACCGCGACAGGCTGAGGATCAACCGCTTTGCCTGGCCAAAGATCCTCAAGATCTCCTATAAGAGGAGCAACTTCTACATTAAGATACGACCTGGAGAGGTATGGAGTATGGTTAAAGGTCCAGTGTTTAGGATTTAGTGGGGTCTGGCGGTGTAATCCTGATCGCATTAATGCTTATTTTCTGGTGATTATACACTAATGTGTACCTATGAACATTATATTCCATATTTGACAATAGCGCCTCCTAAATGTTACACACTGGACCTTCGAAGACCATTCAAAAAAGGGCACTCTATCCATTTTACACATTAAAATTTTTACTAGTCATGGTTAGTGCTACTCAAGTAAAACAACTGTTATGGAATGTCTTCACTAGGTGATAATAGTGACATGTTAGATAATAACCCATGTTAGGCCAGCAGCTGGTTAGCCTAGCTAAGCATAGAGACTGGAAACGGGGTAAAGCACCTCTTAAGTTCACTAATCAACAAGCTGTATATTTAGGGGTGTTATGTGTCATCTTGGAGTCTCTGCTGGTTGTCCAATGACAGCAAGATTCCAGGGACTAAACTATAAAATATAATGTGTTAAATAGTGAGCTTTAGAGGTGCTGGGTCTTTTTTTTACATTTAGACAGAGCCAGGCAAGCTGTTCCTCTTGCTTCCAGTCTTCATGCTAAGCTAAAATAACTGTTTCCTGGCTCCAGCTACATTTTTAGCATACAGACATGAGAATATTACTGATCCTCTGATCTAATTTTCTGCAAGAAAGTGAATAAGCCTATTTCCCGTAATACTGAAATATTCCTTTAAGCCATGGTCTCAGATTTTGAGTACAGTAACAGCTGATGTTCTCTTACAGCTGCTACTGTTGAAAGCCATTGCAGAAATGAATGTGTGGCTGGTTGAGCAGAAGCCTGTAAAATCCTCTGCTTTATACCATTTTTGCTCCTCTGTGCGGTCAGGGTCTATATTATGGCCCTCCTCATTGTGCTGTGCAGCGCTGCAGCTTATCCTCCATGCTGAGCCTCAGTGTGACAGGCTGTCTGGGCCAGACCCAGTCAAGTGACAGAGCCACACAGTGAGCCTGTGGTCGAGCCAAATAAAGAGCCCCTTTAACAGAGCTGCTGCAGCTGCAGCCACAGTCGGAGTAGAAGGATAAAGAGTGTAAATATAGAGCCATGAAATAGTTTTCGTCTCTTTTGCTCCCAGTGTCTGAATATTGGATATTATCCTTCCTTTGCCTTGATCTGCCTCTTTTCCGTCCGGTCGGCAAAATCCATTTCTAAATGTGTTTGCTTATGTAGAAGTAGTATCTAGCACAACATAAAGACTGCTTTATTGATTGGGTTCAGTGTTCATGAAAGGATGAAATGAAGTAAATTTACTGGATTTTTTTTATGAATATAGGTTGCCTGTAGGCCAAGTGCTGAGGTGGCCCCCCAGCAAAACAAAGTAAATACACCTGCTGTATCCCCCACACCTTTCTTCACATTTCTCTCCATGTTCCTCTCCTCTCTCCCCTCCAGTATGAGCAGTTTGAAAGTACAATCGGCTTTAAGCTTCCCAACCACAGAGCTGCCAAGAAACTGTGGAAGGTCTGCATTGAGCATCACACCTTTTTCCGGTAAGAATCGATTTAGTCTCATGGTTGGAATGTTCCCGTTCAATGCCTATCCAGGCAAACAAAACATGTCTGCGTGTACAGCTTCATCAGGAGCAAACACACTCAGTTAATTTAAAAGGACTGTGTAGGAGGTACGAGGAAACAGTTCACACATACAAGGACCAAATGATAGAGCTCAATATTTAGCTAGGATGCAAAAGGCTAGCACTAGCAGCATTATATACTAGAAGCTGGCTTGAAATTCATATTCAATGTATCACAATTGAAACTATTTCCAATTTCAGCATTCATCCTACTGCCTTTGGTTACATAGTACGGTATGTAGTCAAGAATGTTCACTGATTATCGTTTTTGTTTTCACAGGCTGGTTTCTCCAGAGCCTCCTCCTAAGGGCTTTTTGGTGATGGGTTCAAAGTTTCGATACAGTGGAAGGACACAGGCTCAGACCAGACAGGCCAGCGCTCTTATAGACCGACCGGCTCCGCACTTTGAACGCTCCACCAGCAAGAGGTACCTGCTGTCCAGGAGCTTGGATGGAGGTGAGACCCACAATGGATGCTTGCGCTGTAGGCAGTCATAAAGTAATGCTACAACATTAGCAGGCAAAGGTGGACAAAAGAAAGTATCTGCATTTGAAAAGCTAAACTATTATTAAATCCATCTGGCGAACAGTTCGTGATTTTATATTAAGCCATCTACATAAGTGATTTATATGTTATGCAAATAATTTGGTAACCATGGTAACACATGTGTGTGTCTGCAAATGAGTATGGAGATTTTCCCTGATACGTTAGACAGTCACAAGAACGTAAAACTGCGGTGTTTTGTATCCTAACTCATGTACTACTTCATCCTATCTCAACCGGTTAGTCATGTTATTCATAACATGCATCTGATTGGCAGTTAATTATACTAAAGAAGTTATTATAATAATTATTAAGCTCTTTGTGGCACCAAGGAACATAAATATACACCTAATCTGGCGATACAATAAGCAAGGCGATACATTGCAACTAAAAAAAAATTATTTAATTTAAGGAAACAGATTGTTAACAAACATAACAAACTCACCACCTTACACATAAAATCTGAGTAAAAAATCGCATATTTTTATGCAACTGTAACAGTGGGATCTGCATTTATATTCATCACAGTCCCTGTAACATCCACCATCACAGCCCTCAGTTTACAACACTGCTATCTAGCACTTAGTTTAAACGCAACATTTTTTATAGTGTTGAACACTGACTCGTCTCTTGTAATGATCCAACTATTACCAGCAGAGTTCTCAAGGCCGGTGTCAGCCATGTGCGAGAACCATGATGGCATATCCCACCGCAGCGTCAGTGAACAGCGTCGCCTCGGCAGTCCCTCTGTGGATGAGCAGGAGACCGAGCTGGAGCCCAGTTTGGAGCAGGACGAGGAGGACAAGGACCAAGAGCAGGGCCAGGACACAGATGATGGCAATGTCACTCCAAGCAGAAAGAAAGAAATCATGGTAGTAAAGCTTTCCTGATAGCATTTTTTATGAATTTTCATTGTTGATTTTTGTCATGTTAGAATTATGGAAGGTCCAAATGTATAGAGCTTAAGCCATCTTGAAGACAACTCCCGCTCCGGTGCGGGGAGATGGCCTGGACTGCAGGGGTGCTGATAGGTGCAGTACAAGCTTCTCAGGCCAATTGAGGCTAATCCAGCAGGGGCATAACGCTGTGGTGGCTTTAGTGGGTTTAGCTTTTACTAACTCTTCTCCTTTCACTCTTATTCACTCAGGCTTATATGCTTACACTGCACTGCTCATAAATCCCGCTGACAGCTTTACAGTTTTTAACCCTTACTCATTATGCTGAGAGATGCAAACTCAAGCCTAGCCCTCTGTTGCTAACATGCTTTTTCTGTTTTTTAACTCTTGCTGGCGATAAGGAGGAGGCTGGGTCACCAGTTGACAGTAAACAGGAGGTATTTGGTGTCTGGTGATTTGGTCTCTGTCTCTCTGTATACCTGTATTTAGCCATCCTTTATTATTTTATATCTGTCTAATTGTATCTCATTGTCTCTGCCTGTCTTCCACTGTCTAACTGTGGCAGTCAACACTGTTATCATATAAAAACTGTGCTGCATTGCACCATATAAGCAAGGGATGCTGCAAAGGTTGTGTCTAGACTTATTTGTCACAGTTAAGCATCCCAGCAAACATTTGACAAGTTTCAAGTAAAGCATAGACTTTTCACTTGACCCACTGATATAAGAAAGATATTCCTGTCTTGATTTCACAATTTGTAAGAACAGCTATGCTACAAAAAAACTTTTATATTGATGGTATATTTGCGTACCATATCACAATCAAGTAATTCCAAAATGTCTACTGGGATGTATATTCAGATAGTTTCCAAATTTTCTTGGCATGGTAGCAAGTGGCTAAATCTAGCCCTCCAGTCTGTCAAGGGCGGAGCCGGGGGGTGGCCACCCCACACAGCGCCATATTTTGAGTAACTTTCTTGTGTAGAACCATTTTGTTACTGTTGCACCTCCATTGGTGACACTTTTTTTTTTAGCAGATTTCGGTCTGACAGACAAAAAACTGTTGTTGATGCAAGTAAGTACAGAAACGGGAACCAAATTGCAGAAATTCAGATACAGAAGTAATGAAAGCTGCTGCTGCTGAAATAAAATGGTACTGTTTCTCTCTTATTGCCTATACATCCAAGGCTATCAGGGGCTTATTTTAGATGCACACATATTGGTCATAAGCAAACATCATAACCTCTGTACAGCGCCATGCCACACAGAAAAAACTGAACAAGATACTAATTTCTGTGCCACTGCAAAGGTTGTACTGGCCTCAGCCTGGCCACCCCTATGACATTTGTCTGGCTCCGCCAATGCAGTCTGTCTGCCTGCCTGTCCATTGACTGACTTACCTTCTACCATCCTGTCTCTGCATCTGACCTTGTTCCTGCACTCTCTGACCCTGCACTCTTCACCTCTGACCCCTCTTGTGCTTGCCCATTCTCCTGCCCCAACTCAGCTCTCTCAGTTGGACCAGGAGGCCACGCCTCGGCACAAACAGGAGGTACAGGTTACTGTCTTCAGCCCTTGTGCTTTATGTCGTGTGTGCCGCTGTTCCTCAGCGCCTCTAGTCTTTGGTTTTTTTTTTGCAGATTGAGATTTGCCTGCAGCCGCCGTCTTGGATCAAATGATATTCGGAATTTTTCTTTGGAGTGTCATAGAGGTTTAAAACATCTGGCAGCAGTGAGCACAGGATACTTTCAGGTTGTAGCTTTAAAAGTCTTGAGTGTTAAAGATAGAAATGAGCCCTTCTCTCTCCTTAAGTGCCTTTAAAGCATCAGTGCATGCATTGGGGTGGGAGAAGTACTCAGATCCTTTACTTAAGTAAAAGTGTACAACAATCTAAAAATACTCCATTACAAGTTAAAGTCAAAATAAAAAAATAAAAAAATAAATCCCCACTACTTTAAAAGTACATAGGTATTATTAGCTAAATATACTTGAAACACCAAAATACTAAAAGTAGCCTCTGGTTGGCTCTTTCAATTGAATGTATTAGCATCCATGCAGCCTCTGAAGTACCAATTGAAGTTGTCAAATGCTACTGAACTTCAGTATTCATCATACCTGCTACAAAAAATGGATAATGGAAAATGTTAGTCCAAAGTTCAGGCATTTGCACTTTATTTTAATGTGACATTTTGATTTAATCTTCTCTTAGGTATTTTGTAAATATGAATCTGCCTGTAAAATAAGATTATAAAAATAGTTAATAGAAAATTACCATAAAAATCAATAATGCATGTTTTATGGATAAAATGAAAATGCAATAAAAAAAGACTGTGAGTGCAATGAACCGCTGCTGACTGCATTGTTACTCCCCTAAGACACTTTACATTATTTGATATGACATTATGATATCGTTAGTGTTACATTTTAGTGTTGTAGCTGGTAAAGGTGGGGCAGTTTGGTAGTCCAGTGGTTCCCAACCTGGGGGTAGGCCCCCTCCAGTGGGTCACAGGATCAATCCGAGGGGTTGTAGACAAACTAAGTATATAAGTATACAATAAAGTATTAATTTTTGGACTCTAATCTTTGCTTTCATGTGAAACGTTGCATATTCTTACCCCCGGGCCTCTTCATTTAAATAAAACCATCTCAGAAAAGTCTCCAAATGTTTGCTGGAACTGCTAACGACTCATACACATCTAAAACAATAAAATGTGCTCCAACTAAACACTTTTATTGGAAGTCATCACAAACCAAAAAGTTGGAAACCACTCTTTTAATCTTTAGCATTCATGTCTGTCTTAAAATAATAATCAGGTGCGCACATGAACACTGAAAAAAATGTTCTTGCTGTAATCATTCCTCCTGTTTATAATGGCTGTGACGAGATCCCTTTTTAATTTGCTTCCAATGGAAGTAATAGGGGACACAAAATCCACAGCTCTAGTTTTATGCACAAGTACATTCTCAATAAGTTACTTAAGTTAAGTTAATTTAAGGTAATTTGAGGCTCAGCAGTCTGAATTAAAGAAGTCCAGTGGGTATTTTCTAAACACTCTTTAGTAAAAGATTCCCTCTTTCTGTTTCCATGCACTGTGCTTCTATGTTGAGCTGCAGTGGAGGGATAGTAACACAAATAGGGAATTTTGCTCTAAAAAGATGGTAGTATTGGTACCAACTTGATTTGAATAGCTCAGGCCGCTAAAGCCTTCTTTAAACAGCTGTTGGTTCAGATACATTTTTCAGAACATATTTCTACACAGAAGAAGAAGAACATGAACGTGAGGGATGATTACAGTAAACAAAACTGTTTTAATAGATATGTGGGCACCTGACTATTACTTTAAGATAGACTTGAAAATGTTATAGCCTATCCTTTAACATGTTGTTATAAGATAAATGTAGTTGAGTGAAAATTATATGCATTTCCCTCTGAAATGTATCAGTATTCCAAAAATGGCAATATTCAAAAGTGTACTAAAATACAGAAGTTTAGTACATGTACAAAGTTACTTCACACCATTTTTATTTCTTCATTTATGTATTTTACTTTCAGTGTTTTAATTATCGTGTTCTTTTGTGTCATCGTTTTGGTTTCATGTGAGCTTCAATAGCATCTTAAGTGTCATTTCTACCCATGTCCTACAGCACAAAGTAGTACAAGACTAGCATATTCTCTGGTTAACATAAATGCCAGCACTCCACATCCCATCTTCTCCTGCGTGTATGCAGTATTATCTCACATCCCGTTCAGTCGTGCATATCAGATGTGTTGATGTGAGTGCTGCTGCTGAAAAAACATGCCGACGTCCTGCTAATGCATTCCCTTTTCTCGTCTCTTCCCTGTCTCTCTCCTTTTGTTTTTTTCTCCTCATTCTCATTCAGTTTTTGGATAAGTCTCAGGACTTCTTGCTGAAGCACCAGGCCAGCATCAACGAGCTGAAGAGAACCCTGAGGGAGCCCAACAGCAAGCTGATGAACCGCGAGAAGCGTCTGTCAGCCTCCTCCCCGACAGGCACACCAGAGAAGAAGGCTGTGAGTAGGGGCATAGGCCAGTGGGAGGGGGGCTGGGATCTGTGGGCTGTATGGTGACTATGGTCAATATCTCAAATCCAGCAACCTCTGATGCTTGACATTCCATTAAAGGGCATTGATATTCCTATCTGGCCACTGTCATGTTGAATTCCTTTTTTTGCTGTTTGACTCGATCAAAACAGGCCATATTTCTGTCATGTGGAGACCCTTTTCTGTGTTCTCTTTTTGAATAATTTATGCCTGAAGACATACTGTACCAGTATGAAACATGATGGTTAGTGAATGTAGTTATTGTTGTTTAATATCTCTCCTACAGGCAGTTCAAACATCTCCTGTGCAAAGACACTACTTGCTCATGGGAACAAACATAACAATCTGTAGTTTATTTTAAGACGTGTATGATGAAGTGCATCCTGCCTCTCTCTGGTGTACCAGAATAATTCCTGACAATATCTCAGAGGTACTTGAAGATGACTGACAAGTAGCACAGAGGGAACCATCTTGATGAGATTAGTTTCAAGATGTTTTTTGAGATTTACTCAATGTGAGGCACTTGAGAAATAATTATCGGTTATCTTCTTTTTTTTCCTTGATTGCCTAACAGTGCCACACTTTTCTTTATGCCGGATCACGAAAGCTCTCAAGCTTTGATCACAGTTTGGTAATTAGGCTTTTGAAGATAGAGCACTGAGATTGTAGTCTTCAGATAGGATGGGTTCTGTCTTTGCCAGTGCCTAAATTGTCTTCAGACAATCTCTCATCTGCTGTTGGGGATGATCAGATTATGCCCATAGAATGTCAAACCTTGTCTGCTGCAGAAAATGTAATCTGCTGTGTGTTTCATTCCAGGTAAAATGATGGAGGGGTGGTGGTGGGGGGATTATTCTGTTTGACTGACAGTCGAAGGCTGGGAAAGTCTCTGTGCTCTTCACTGTTTTCAAGAGATTCAGTCGAACTCAACTCTTTGATGTAGTCACAGAAAGAAATATTTGCAATGCAAATGTCTGCTGATTTGGTTATGTGGATTTGGTGGCTGTCAGGTACACAGGATTGCATGTTTTTAGTTTGAAGTTCATTAAAAAGTTTCTACAGAATAAACTTCAGTAAAGTCCTGGTTGCACTTATCCTTTCTGCTTTTCCCATTTTCTCTTTCTCCATTTTGCATGAAATGGTTTATTGTGCATCTCACTTATTTACTCCTTCGTTTGGAGTCTCTAATGGCTGTTCTTCCTTCTCTTTTAAACTCTCTCCTCTGCCTCGTGTCGGCCAGTTGGTGGTCCGAGCAGTGGGAAAGGACCCTGTTAACAGCCTGTCTGTTGAGGGTTTCGTCCAGAAGACTCTGGTGACTTCACCTGAGGTTGATCTCTCACTCTTCCTCTTTCATAATGCAGTTTACTATTTATAGCATTTGTGGTTTGGTGAAATACACTGCCTCCGGTCCATTATTATCACTCACACGTCTATCTATTTAAGAACATACTACCATATATTGTACAATGAATCTCTAAATGCATGTTTTCCAAAACTTCACTATGTACCAGTTGTACATTTTGTTTCCTTTTCTGTGATTCAAATGATTTTATTATTTGCAGTAGCTGTGCTTGGCATGTCTAACTGTGTTTAATCTATACCAACATGTAGGGCTCTGAGGAGTGGGTATTGATTGAAAAACAAGAAACTTATCAACAGGACCATGACTGGAAGGCAGAAGAAAAGAACAAATCTCTCTCATCTGATTCCTCATGGGAGAAAAAGGAACTGGACAAAGAGATAGACATTGCCAAGATGATACATAAAGAGGTAACAGGGTATGACAGGAAAGAAATGAAAAGCCATATTGATGAATTTCCATCAACAAAATCGTCCAGAGAGGCAGATGTATGCTCTGAGCCTCGACCAGCGAACAAAAGTCGTTTTGTGATTCAGTTATCGGAGAATGCGGACTTGCTTCAAGACAAATCTCAAAGTAAATCATCTGAAGCCTCAGACCCTCAGGCAGACAATGATGTGGCCCTGGGCTCGTGCCAGATAAAGGAACGCACAGCTTCTAAACCAAGAAAAAAAAGGAGACCCCAGAGCTTAAACCTGGGAATGCCTGCAGAGCTCATCTACAGGAAAGAAGACAGTGATTCTACTGGAGAAGAAAATGAGGGCTCAGATTTAGACAGTCCAGAAAATACCTCTAAAACAGGAAATGACTGTGAGTCATCCTGGTTGGTGATGATGAAAGATGATCAGGGATCAGGAAAGGATCAGTCTGTCCGGGTCTATGCAGACAACAAACAAGAGGATATATCATTAGGAGAAAGCAGGGAGGTCTCCACTGAAGGAGCAGAGCAGGTAAAGAGGAAAGTGAGTCAGGTTTGGCCAGCAGATATCGACTTAGGCTCAGTGAACGGACCCGGAAAGGTAGAACATGATAGTTCATTAGCAGGTGTTAAAGGGGAGTGTGTGATGAAGGTGCGAGGGAAAGGCCTTATTGATAACAAAGAGCTAGCTGAGGTGAAACTGCGACAGGTCAGGACACATGAGAGGAAGATAAGTAGTTCTGGGGGAGAGGATATTGAGGGTTTCATTGGAGACAGAGGTCAGAGGACCTCTCTCCACCGACTGTCAGGCAGCAGCTACCAGTCGGAAATCACCAGGATTGTTCCTCTCAAGCCAGAGCGATCAAAGAGCGTAGCGTGTAAGGATGAAAGGGACAGGACAGGACAGGACGAGCCCACACGGGCCATGAGAAGAGAGTACCGCTGGTCGGTCGGCTCTCCAGAGGGACCCTCAGACTTCAACTGGACGGACGTCTCCACCCACCATCCAGCATTCGCAGCAGATCTGGAGGGTATCGGTAAAACAGAACATCCTGATGATAGCTATCAGTCCAATAGAGGACCTACAGAGAGTCAGTTGTTCAGCTCAAAGATTTCAGCACTTCCCAAAATGGTTCCCCCAGCCCCGCCAGTGAAAACACAGAAGGCCAGGGAGTCTGGACTAATACTACGGAACAGCCGAAATGCCGGCAGGGAGCCGAGCCTGGACGCAGCCAAGAAGAGACACTCGGTAACTCTGCTTGGCATCTGCTATTCAGTCATTGGAAATAAAGCATCGCATGAGCTTCAGACAGACTCGCACGCCATTTTTCTTTTTTTCTACGTTTTCAGTGACTTGAAACACTCATCCATCTTACCTGTTCGTTCCTGTATGAAGAGCAGGCGGAGCGGTATATTTGCTCAGTCTTGTGGCAAAAACCAATCAAAACGTTTGGACATTTTCCCATATGGCAACCCAATTTATCCCCTCCCATTGCCCTCTACATGCACCACACTGTCTGGCAAATCTGTACAGCTCACCACTGGCTGTGAAAGTTTAAAAGAGACAAAAATCAATATCTCATGTTTTGGTTGTCGGTTTGTCTTCGCCTTCTTTAACTTGTGAGACTCAAATTTCTTTCCGGCTCACGTTGCTCTCTGTCAGAGGGTGACAGGGAAAGAAAGGCTTACATATTAGCATCGTGCTGATGATTTTTGCACATCTCTGTGCCATTTTCAGACTGGAAATACAAAACAAATGATTTATTGCATACCAATATTACAAATTAAATCACTCATTTGAGGAAGAAAGGGTGAAAAGTACTTCCATTAATTACTTTGTTAGAGACAGCTTATTATGTCCCAAAACTGGAGATAAATGGAGTACAGAATTGGTTTGTGCATAAATGATTGAGAAACTGCACCAAATTGACTTCTATCTATGGAATTACAAAATGCTCCTTGATCCTTCAGATTGGTGATAATAAATCATGAATCAGATCATTTTCCTGTACCCTACCTGGATTGAAAGCTAAGCAGTGTTATAAACACACTGGTTCCTCCAACTGTGAAACCCCAGCAGGCAGTGAGCAGCCAGACACCACAGCTCAGTGCCTGACACAGTCAGATTTGCTGCTTTCATTTCACTGTTGGTATCATTAGGAGCTTGCACGCGTTTGGCACTGGAATGAAAGGAATTTGAAGTGAATAGACATGACAGCTTTCATCATTTCCCACCTTTTCATCTGAGTCGAGCTCTTGCATATATTCGATTAAATAGGCATGAGAAGAGGTGTTGCGTAGCTCTCAGTGGCGAGTGACAATAGTATCAAGATCAGATTAAACTCGGGGAGAGTGTGGGAAAATATTAGGTGCTCCTCCAAACATGCGGACCCACTTGCATTTTGACAGGCACCCTGGCACCTTTTATTGGACATTTAACAATATTATTTGACAATATTTGAATACTCCCTCGTTGAAATTCATGGTGCGTAGTGTTGCATCACTTTCTCAGATGGTCAATAAGTGGCTGCTGCTATGCTGAAAACCTGCTCATTATACAAACTGCATGATTCTCTTGCCCTGCCTCTGCTAATTCTAACAAATAAACCCGGCCGTAGATGTTGCTTTTGTTGCAGTAAGCTCACCTCTTTTCTGTCCTCCAAACTGTATTGCTGTATGCTATGTCACTGTAGAGTAGGGCTTGAAATTTGTGCCTGAATCCATTTGGACCTGACTGGATCTGAACAGACCCAGTGGGCTTAGATTGGGTCTGGCTGAATTTCTCACCTAAACTTGGGTTTGAGTCATTAAAAAAACTTAATTATTAGCTGGTTGGCTACATTCAGATTTGGAGTATTACTACTGAGCAGTACATCAGGATCCCAGTTTAGGTTTGGAGTGAAATATTTTGTGCTCAGAACACACTGAGCTCATACTTTCAGGCTCCAGTCAAGCTCTGCTGGTAGGATTTCTGTTTGTGTGCTGTCAGTCCACTGGTCATTTCAGCTTATGCTAACCTCCACATGCTTTCTGTGCTCTTCCCTCTGCTTCCCCCTGCAGGAGCCTGTCTCTACTCCTGCCATTTATGAAGAGCCATTTGCTGATTTCAAGGTTATTCATTTGTATTTAAACCCACCTTCATATGTTCCACCCATCATCTCTTTTCCTCTTTGCACCCCTTAAACTGCATGCCTCCTAACTGACTGCACCGGTTTCTCTGATGAAGTGTGTTACTTTTCACTGGCTACTCATCCATCACCATGATCAGAGTTTGAATTTAATCTGTGTGTTGTAAACAGAACCCCTTGCGCATAATGTCGTTTTCACTGTGATCTAATTACCTTGTGTACTTGTAATTAATGTAAGTGGCATTACTTTTAATTGGCTGCCTCAGGAGCTTCATTGTAATTCAGTAGCTCCCAACCTTTTTAGCTTCTGACACCTTACAACAGAGCTATTTCGCTTCTGACCCCTTGTCACAGCTTGCATGTCAATTCAGCCAAAATTTTGTTTTGCTCTCTTGTTTTATTCAAATGCCTTTACAGACTTGTTTCCTCCAAAGGCAGAGTAGTGACCCAGAAGATTACAATTTTCAGATTGGGGAACTGTGCAATAGATAGAAAGGTTGTGATGCCTCTGTTTCATGCCATTTTAGGGTGATTATTCAGTCCAAAAAAACATTATCACAGAACCTACTTGATACCTAAAGATGTAAATACTGCACTATTGGATAAAATCCTCAACAACGTGTTCTTCTAGTTCATTTAACTGAAGGAAATAAACTTTATTCCGATCATTTATATAAATAGTTATTAAATGTTTCTCCATTTTGCTAGTCGTCTAGCTGTCCGTCTACTATAAATATGTAAAATGAAATGAATGTAACAAATTTATTTTCAAATTTAAAACATTTAAACATGAATTCCACTCGTCAACAGCTGAGATGGCAGCACCAGAGACCTGCTAAGCTAGTTAGCATTAGCATGAGTTTAAGGTTAGCAGGGCTTTTCAATCATCATTGTATTTAGCTGCTACCTCATTTAGTTATGTAGAATCATCAAGTGAATTAAAAATATAGCAGTTCAATACGATGTATGTTTTTTTAGCTATGGAAAAATTAATTAGGTGATTTAGTTTGAGCCATGGCTATGTATGGTTAGCAAGCCAGAGTGCATTTACTACAGTTTGGCTAGGTATTTATCTTATTTATAATTATATGTTGCTTTCACAGAAATCATACATTTCTATGGCATAATCATTTTTTGATGGTAAAATACACATAGACACAAAAAAGAAAAAAGAAAAAACATAATCTGCATGCAGTAAAACATTTCCTTTTCTTTCTCTTAGTTATCTTGTGGCCCTTAGGGTATCCCAACCCCTAGTTTTGGAGCCACTGTTCAAACCACATTCAACATTTCATTTCTGATGATTGCATGCCCTATGATTTTCTAATGTATATGGAATAGGTTATACATTGCATGTATAATGTCTTTGAATTTGGATCCTCCATGAATCCTATCAAATACTTCACCCTCAAAAATCAGAACCATTCCATGCCATCCTCATCATCCACCCGTCTGCAATTATGTAACCTTAGAGTGGTGATCCTATGTCTGTACCCGCCCCAGAAGGAGCTCGGGGACAGGAGGCCCCCGCCGATCATAACCTCAGAGGAGGAGCAGGAGCGGGACACGGTGGCCTGCATGAGGGAAACCCACCTGGGCATCGAGCGCAAGTGCTCCAGCATGACGGTGAGCTCCACGTCCAGCCTGGAGGCTGAGGTCGACTTCACCGTCATCATGGACCTCCACTCCAGCGTGGATGACTTCTCTAAGGGCATGTCGGAGCTGGGAGAGAGGGAGAGACAGCCCGAAGTTGGCCGGGAGGACTTTGAGGAGACCTCCAGGTTCTACTCAGCCCGTCTAATGGGCTCCCGGGACAAGTCTCCCATGGAGGAGAAGCTTCCTGAGGAGGGAACACATCATGAGGTAGACAGATGAATGTCTTCGTCCTTCATCATCATTACCCGCTGGATTCACCCTGCCTGGCTGGAATTTGACTTTTTTTTTTGGACCATTTGCCTTTGTTTGACTTTTGTTATATTATCTTCATGTTTAATTTTGTTCAAAACTCTCCATGTTTTATTCTCTTTGATGTATTCTCTCATAAATGTTTCAACCATTTTATTTTTGTCAGTTGCGTCAGTGTTTCTTTGAATTCCCCTGCTGCTGCATCATCATTTGCATGTTGTCATCAAGCCCAACAATTCAGTAAAATGTATTTATATATATATTTTTGTTCCTTTTAAGTTAAAAGTGCTCAAATGCCTTTGTTTGAAATATTTGCTGCTCGAAAGCAATGCGTTGTTATTGCAAATTCTAAGAAATTGCTTGATATTGCGAAACTGTACTGTTTGTGTTTCACACAGCCTCCTGTGGCAAAGAAAGACCCCAGTGCTGTGAACGTGGCCCATATGCTGAAGAGGTCCGACACCAAGACGGAGACACATACGAATGGATCAGAGATCCACCCCAACATCATGAATGTCTCACCGAAGGTAAGCACATTCATGATTCAACGGGTAGCTTCGTATTTACTGTACAGACACAAGACTGGTGTGGGTCTACTGGCAAGAATAAGCGTATTTAAACTTTTTTAATGTATATGTTTTAATTGTTTGGATTGATCATATATGTAATTTCTCTTTTGCTCTGGTTCTTTTTCTCTGTCATATATCATTTATTTTACACATGAATGTTGATCTATTTTAAACTACAGTATTGCTAGAAAGGGCTAGTGAGGCAAATACTCATCAGAGGATCAATCAATCAATCATTCAACAAATAGACTTGCAATGAAGAATTTAATATTTCTGCAGGGCTTTGGAGATGGAAGCATTTTCTTTGGGCTGCGATGACGTGAGGCCATATTCCCCCGACAGGGATTACATAATAGCATCATTATGGAGTGATTAAAGTATTGACAGTGTATTAATGAGGATGATGAAAGCAGGTGCGAATCCCATTCATCTCCGCAGGCAAAGATTTGAGTGCTGGCTGTCGGTCCCACAGGTGCCTTATTAAAATGTAATTATTGCTGGGCTCTTTAGCCATTCAGCTAATGGCGTGGATGAACTCAGGCAATGATGTAGAGAGGGTGCCTTTGAAGTGCCAGATCACTGTTGAGTCGAATTTTGTAAGATGTCAGAGTAAGACACAGCAGTGGTGGTGGTGTTGGTGGTGTGTTTGTGTGTTGCTGTGGTGTTGGTGGTGGTGTGTTTGTGTGTGTGTCTGCAGCCAATGGACAATGCTGTCATCGATGGGCAGACAAAGATCTCCAGCACCAATGTTGTTCAGCCAGCAGAGGGAGCCATGTCACGTGTGTTGAGTTTCTCAACAACAGCCGCTGCCAGCTGTCTGCATGTCAGTGACAGGCTTTGATTCTGNNGCCAGACTGTAGTAAAGGGCATTTGTTCAGCTGCCTTCATAATCAGTTCATTAACTGTACATGTTATTGGTTTGATTGTCAGTCGTGGATATGAAAGAAGATGTCAATATAAAACCTTTCCCAGCTCATTTAGGCAAAAGTTTGCACGGACTCCACTTACATAAAGCTATAGACATTATGTCATATCTTTTTATAGTCTCATGATTGTTTGGCACTTCAACTGATTTGATAAAAAAAACAATGAAATTAGAACAGCGGAGTACATTTGGATGCAATAGGCCAAATATCACACATTAGAAGCACTTAAATAGATACTTTAAAGTGAGACTGTGTAGCTTTTGCGGGACAAATTATCTCCCACTTATAAAATCATTTTCACAAGCAATAAAACACACTCTAGCGCACTCAGTTCAATACACTCAGGAATTCTGCTACAGCGTCGCTTGTAGCTTCTGGTTATGTTTGCAAACTCATCAGCCGTGTTGCTTTATGACTCTGTGCTTTAGCACGTCACAGGTATTTTATTTTCTCTTTATTTTTATTGTATGTATTTCAGTGGCGTAATCACAAAAGTACTAAAAGACATGAAGTAAACACCAAGTTTTTTCCTGCCTGTGGCTCATAGGCTCTTTTCACAGCAGACACAGTTGTAACTAATGACATTAACAGCGGCTCCGGTGAGCCCTGTCAATGAGCCAGCAGTAACAATAGACCTTTGTCACGGCAGATATTTTTGACTTGAAAAGCACAGGTGAAACTAATTT